GCACGTGAATCAACAGAACCCCCAAACTGCGCCGCCCGTGTCAAGTGGGCGATTCAGCGGTTGCACTCGACGGTTGAGTAGCTCCCGAAGCGGATCAAGACCTACCTGGCCTCTTCTCGCAACGCCATCGAAACCGTTGAGCAGAGCAGCCGGTGCGACGCGTCAATTTCACACGTTACGACGCCCGGGCTAAGACAAAATCAATTACCTGTAAGCCCCTTTTCCCTCTCCCTATACTCCGTCATCCTACTGCCCTGGCCCTCTGCTCCCTCACCTGCCTGCCACTTCCACCCCAATCCATTGCCCCATCGTTCCGTGTTGACATTGGACGTCTTGCAGTAGTCACCACCGCACCCCCGAAGCGTTGCATACCACACGTCTTGCATCATGGAGCCGTGGATGAGCTGGGTCGTGTTCCTGGCCATTGGAGGCGCCGCCTACTGGTACTACATGCACCAGGGCAACACGGCGGATACCCGAGGACGCTCCACCACGGGCAAGTCGACGACCAGCTCGCTCAAGGAGGCAGTCAGCTGGGACACGCCAGAGAAGAAGCCCAAGGCACAGAAGGCTGCAAAGCCCAAGGCCCCTCGCAAGTCGGTCAAGACGGCCGTCCAGGATGCTGGCAACAAGGCCGCCGCGACCATCTCGCAAGCCGCCCCCAAGCAGGCTGCCGACGACAGCGCCGTCGAGCCCCCCGCCGCCTACACCAACAAGGCCCCGAGCGGCAAGGACGTCTCCGACATGCTCGGTGAGCGCGCCGCCTCGCCCGCTGTCATGAGCATCAAGCCCTCCGAGAAGCCAGCCAAGTCGGTCAAGGCTCAGACACAAAAGGCCGAGGTCGCGACCGAGTCCAAGAAGCAGCGCCAGAACAGGAAGAAGGTCGAGGAGGCCAAGGCCGCGCGCGAGGAAGAGGAGAAGGCGCGCAAGGCTCTCGAGGAGAAGCAGCGTCGTGTCGCTCGTGAGGCGCGCGGTGAGCCGGCCAAGAACGGTCTCGGACAGAGCAAGCCCCCCGCCTCTAACCCCTGGACCGAGGTGCCTTCTCGCGGTGCCGTCCAGCCTCCCAAGGCCGCTTCGTCTGGTCAGCTTCTCGACACCTTCGAGGCTCCTGCCCAAACGGCTACCAAGACTGCCGCCCCCACCAACGGCGCTGCTAAGACCGCTGCCCCTGTCAGCACCCTGCCCTCAGAGGAAGAGCAGATGAGGCTTGCTATGGAGGACTCTGCCTGGACCACCGTCCCCAAGGGCGGAAAGCCCAAGCGCAAGACCGTCAACGAGGAGCTTGCCGAAGAGCTCAGCGAAGTCACTACCAGCACGAAGCCTCAACAGTCTGCTAAGCCAGTTCGGCCAACCGAAGTCATCAAGGAGAACAAGAACCCCAGCTCTCGCTACCAGATCCTTGCCGAGGAGTTCAACCCCAAGACTGGCGACGATGCCGATGACTGGGCCGTCATGTGAAGTGGGCAAACATGACTCAGCCAGCAGCTGGTCTCAGGACCTCGGGTACATTCACGTACCCTGGACGACGATACACCTTTCGATTTCTATCCTATTGAAGACTGTTGGCGCACGTGAGATCTTCAGGCGTTGATCTGACCACCTCCAACTTTCATCACGATAGCATCATATTTGGCATGACGGACGAGCATAGCTCATACGACGGTGGAATTGTCCTTGTAAGCATGGGTATGGCTGGATCATCGGATGGGTTCCTTCCACTGCTTTGCTGTCCAGGCCATGAAAGCATCGGCGTATGGGGTTGCATCTGATCTTATTGCAAAGGCTTCTTGCATTCGCGTCCTGTACTTCAATACCACATTTAAACATCAATCAGTACCCGACGCTGGAATAATGACTGTTGAGGCGCGCAGGTAGAAAAAGTAGTTGTTGAATTGCAGCTCCTCATACAAAACCTCCCACACATGTGTCTGCAGTACAGCCGTGCGTTGGTGAAAGCTATAAATACAACCGTGCTCCACCGTGTTGAAAGTGCCCGTGCCAAGTCGTGAATCAGCTAGTCAAGATTGGTCCGGAGGTATTTCGTACCGACTACTACTCCTGACGCCATAGTCAGAGTCGAGTAGCAGAAATCTGGCCTCTTAGTAGTACTCTAGTAGGTTGCGCGAACCGAGGAACCAGCGCCGCAGCAACCCTGGGAACAGCCCACACGACGCAATTCAATATATTCACCATCACGCGCAACTGCCAGCTAGCAATCCCACCCTGCAATTTACTAGCCTGCAACAGAAGAAAGTAGTGAGACTCAACACATCAAAGTAAGGCGCAAAGGGTTAGGCCGCTGACATAATCTGACGTTCCGAAGGTCAATCGCGTGAAGGACACCTGTTCGGAGCAGCGCAACCCAATCACCTCTACACCAGCCGCCGCCCACCCTCTCTTCTTCTCTACTACACCACCAGCCATGGCGCAGATACGCGGCACCGCTGGCTACCATTTGGGCAACCAGAGCCCCTTTGGCAACTCGGGGCGCAATGACAACAGCACGAATGACCCCAGTCCGCTCGACCAACTGCGCGCCCAGACGAGCAAGCTCGAGGACCTGCTGGACACTGTCTTCGACCCCATTAAGCCGTGAGTCTTACTCTCGGTGCACCAGAAGCGGTGCCACGACGCTGCCCGCTTGGAAACCGGCTAATTCCCCCCGTAGATACCTCCCTGGCATCGGCCGCTTCCTCATCGTCGTTACCTTCCTCGAAGATGCCCTGCGCATTATCACACAATGGACCGACCAGCTCACGTACCTGCACGACTACCGCCACAGTACGTCTCTACCCCTCCTCTCGCAGCAGCGCGTGAACATTGGCTAACACGGTCTCTTCCTGTCTGCAGTCTGGAACGGCGTCACGCACATGTTCCTCATCGTCAACATCGTCCTCATGACCGTCTGCTCCTTCGGCGTCATTTTCCGAAAGTACTCCGAGTACAGCGTAGCGGGCCTCATGACCGTCGTGGTGCTCCAGGGCATCGGCTACGGCCTCGTCTTCGACCTCAACTTCTTCCTGCGCAACCTGTCCGTCATGGGCGGTCTGCTCATGGTGCTCTCCGACTCGTGGGTGCGCAAGAAGTTTGCGCCCGCCGGCCTCCCCCAGCTCGACGAAAAGGACAAGAAGATGTACTTCCAGCTCGCCGGACGCGTCCTGCTCATCTTCCTCTTTGTGGGATTCGTGTTCCGCGGCGACTGGGGCTTCTGGAGAATCATTGCTAGTCTCTTGGGACTTGTGGCGTGTGTCATGGTGGTTGTGGGCTTCAAGGCAAAGTTCTCGGCTGTTATGCTCGTGCTTATTCTCAGCGTCTTCAACCTCTACGTTAACAATTGGTGGAAACTGCACCCGCACCACCCCCACAAGGACTTTGCCAAGTACGACTTCTTCCAAATTCTGTCCATTGTGTAAGTACCCTTGTCTTAGTCTCGAACCGCGCATTGCTAATAATCATTCAGTGGCGGTCTCCTCTTGCTGGTCAACATGGGCCCCGGCCAATTTTCCGTCGACGAGAAGAAGAAGGTCTACTAGACTCGGACATGTTCACGCATCACGACACGTGTTTCGACTTTTTTGAACGGAACGGTCGCCTTATATTCGATATATAAACGCATATATGATATTCAATTGGGAAAAAATGAACGTGGTGGGAAAAAGCGAGAGATGATGGCGGTTTGAGCAAATCCCATTTTCAAGACGAAACCAGAACAGAACAGTCTAGACAGCAATTGGGTGTCAGGCAAAGAATGGATGTTGGGCTTTCAAAAAGCGCCAGGTTTTCCAACCGTCAGCCCTTGCATTGGGATGTTGTCCTTGTGCCGGGCATCTGGGAAATGGGGGGCAAACGTTGTGTAGAATTATGGAACGAATCCGGCGTTTGCTTTTCTTTACTTGCGAGTGATATGATGGCGATTTGGACTTATGAATCGCACGTTCTAAAGGGGGATTTTTTCCTTCATATATATGGCAAATGCACATTCCCCCAACTTCCACTCTCGCCTTTTCCATGTAGATATGACCACGGGTTAGGGACCCACAAAGACAACTTGAAAGTGGAGTCAGTGTCGGTATCGGTGACCTCCGCGTTTGGCGGCTGCGGCATACCACACACACCTGCCATGCGCGGTTTGGTGTAGGCTGGTAGGGGTATCTAGACGCGAGGCGCGCCACTAGTTAGATAATCGTACATGTATCCATACGTACCTCGTGGAAGCAAACAACCAACAGACCATTCCATCTACATCACCAATTCTACCTCACCATCTTATCTTCACACATCGTAACTATGGCACCGAATAAGATTATCATTGATACAGACCCTGTAAGTTAACTTTCCAATGTGCGAAAGTGCGGGGTAAATGTCGGTGGGGGCCGTAGGCGGGAATACATGGTGGAAGGCGGATGATTGAAAGTGATTTTTGGCTAATAGAAAATACGGTAGGGCGTCGATGATATCCTGGCTATGCTCCTGGCGTTCTCGGCTAAGAGCGAGGAGTTGGATATTCTCATGTTGAGTTTGACGTTTGGGAATGTCGAGGTTAAGAAGTATGTTGCATTATCCTTGTCTCATTTCCAAACTTCTGTTTTCGGCTTTCGGTTGTGCAGGATGTGTATGGAGAAAGTTGTGTTGGGATTGGAGAGAGGCATATGGTATATGGTTTGGATGGATGGATGGGGGAATTGACGGAGAGAGGAGAGATGGATTGACTGACGAAACAACAGTTGTCTTCGGAATGTGGTCACGCTTTTCCATTACATCGAAAAGGAGAGGGCGTGGCGGAAGGAGAATGGTAGACCGGAGGGGTTTGAGACGTTGAGTGCGAGGAAACCTATTGGTGAGTCTTTGATGCGAGATGCTAGAGGAAAGGAGTTCGTGTTGCTAACATGTGAGATAGTTGCTGTCGGTGCTGAGGAGCCATTGGCGGAACATATGATGGTCGCGGATTTCTTCCGTAAGTTGAACATACTCAAGATGAATGGAGAAAGCGAGTGGCTGACATGGCGTAGATGGGATCGATGGGCTGGGAGGTATACATCACAGTGTAAGCTCTCTGTCTTCCAACACGATATGAAAACTTGAGAACTGACATGTGCCAGCACCCACATCTCTCACCAGAAGAGACGTGGAAGTCACTCTTCACTCCTCAGCCGAAGAACATGTCGGCTGAAGAAACCAAGGCGCTGCAAAAAGTCAAGGAGAAGCACTCGCTCTTCACTCCATCGCTGAAGCCCGCACACGAAGTCATGCTCGACTTGTTGAGAGAGAACGAGCCCGATACAGTTACCATCGTGGCAGTTGGACCGCTGACAAACCTCGCTATCGCCGCTGCGCAAGATCCCGAGACGTTTTTGAAGGTTAAGGAGGTAGTCGTCATGGGCGGTGCAATCGATGCGCCTGGAAACGTAAGTCCTGATCTTTTTCAGCTTACAATCTCACCCTTCGTCGCATCCTTTCCAGCTCTACGCAGCTCTGAAAAGCCACCCACAGCGTCGTCCACCCCCACCCCTCCACCTAATATACCACCCACACACCCTATCCATCCCCGTCCCCCCCTTCAACCTAATCAAACAACCCAACACCCCCCTCCGCCACTCACTAAATCTCCGAAACCAGATGACCCCCGGCGCCGAATTCAACACCTACGCCGACTCCGTAGCCAGCGCGCGCGTCTTCGCCCTCACATCCGCAAACCCGCACCTCACCATGCCCCCCTCGCTCTCAAACTCCCAGAAGAAACACCAACTCCCACCGTACCCAAAAACGCTCAGCAAGCGCCTAACCATCAAACTCTTCCCGCTCGACACAACAGAACTACACGTCCTGCCCAAAACCATGTACGAAGACTACATCGCCCTAAAACCCATCCACGGCTCCCCCCTCTCCGAATGGACCAGCCTATTCCTGACCTCCACGTTCGCGAAAAACCTATCCCTAAACCCCCAACAAGACCCCACGAAATCCGGACTCCAACTCCACGACCCGCTGACGATCTGGTACGCTTTATGCCCTTCCAACCCTTTGTGGAAGTTCAAAGAGGAGGATGTGAGGGTTGAGACGAGTGGGCAGTGGACGAGGGGCTGCACGATTGTGGATCGGAGGGGGAGGCCGGTTACGGAGGGGGAGAGCAGTTTGGACGAGGAGGTTGTGGGGGATGCGGGGGGGTGGAGGGATAGTAGGAGGGGGAATCGGGTTGGGTGGTGTACGAGGAGTCCCGGGGAGGGGAAGTTTGCGAGGGTGTTGTTGCATAGGGTGCTGGGGGATGGGGAACAGTGGTAGCGTAGGGTGGGAGTGGTGTGTGGGGGGTTGAGTGGGTGGTTGCTATCGGCTATGAGGATGGATGTGCATTGGAGTGTTGGGGATAGAGGAGCTGAGTGATGAACTATACACGCTATGCTACATGCCTCAGCCTTGTACTCAGACTGGCATTGACGCAAGTGTTTTGCTTCCTCCAGGATCGGAATACGATTAAATTCATAGACAAGAGCAATATGCACAAAAGGTCTCATTACATACGTCCGCCAATTGGTTCCCGGCTAACTTGCTACCCATCCGTCGGCTTACCCGCCATCACCCATCCATCCACCCGTACCCTCCTTACACAACGCCTCATCAGGCTAGATAGACAGCGAGAACACCGACAGGTGTACTACATATGTCGCAACTGGGATGACCCAGTACTATGGATATTCTCCGAAGGGAAGAGGGGGGTTTGTGTAAGCTCTTGTGTCGCCGTGATACGAAAACGGCGGCCATTCCGAGTGGTTCGCTTGAGGGTAGTTTGTGTCAGATATGAACAATGGTAAGGTAGAGAAGCTGGGAGGACACGAAGCGGTGGGCTGTTTTTCTGGGGGTGGTACGGGGGTGGTTGGGCGGCGGTACACGCTCGTTTCTTGGTGTTGGGATTGGTGGTATGAGGGATTTTGGGGAGGGAGAGATTGGGTAAGTACTCGTTTAGACAAGACCCAGTAGTAAACTGGAAGAAACTTGTGAGCAAGCCTTCCAAGGTTTTTCGAACAACATATCTGCCTCTGCTCGTCCTCCAACCACCCATCCATCTCCCTCAACTCATCAACCCCCATGAAACCCAGTCTAGATACTACGCCATGTCCCCTCATCATCTGCGCCCCCTCTACTTCATCTCCCTACTCATGCCGTGCACCCATGCAATCCGGCTCCACCTACTCCATCGGCAATCATAAGGGGAAGCTAATTTCCGCCACCGGCACTTTCTCCGCTTCGTGCCATGTCGTACGGAGACGTTGTCGCGTTGCGTCATCTGTGTTGTGCGAAAGGGGAGGAGGATGGAACTAGCTGGGGCTGAAGGTTTTGGGGGGCGGTTGGGTGAACTGGGAACTGGGAATTGGGGGGAAGAGGGGAGTACATGATGTGAGGATGGAACTATACAGGTTTGCAGAATACATGGGGTTGGAAACGGAAGTTGGTCAAACGTGTACGTATTGTTTGGCTAGGCTACACATCCGGGTGAGTGGGATTGGGAATGGGAGAAGGGCGGGTTCACCGCTGGTCTAGTGTTACCCAGGAAGCTGAGGATCGTGACTAGCCCACCGCGCCCCATACAAGGAAAACTTTAATGTTGTTTCTTGAATGAGGTGACTGCAGAGATCCAATCAGACCCAAGAGGCTACAACAATCACTCGATTTGCGTATATTTGAGAGAGAGATGGTGCCATTGTAGTCTCCTCACGTGTGAAATATAGCTCCAAATACCGCAATGCAACCGTCTTCACATATTCCATAAAGGTTGAAAGTCCAGAGGACCAAGATAGATTAAAGCCAGACCTCTGTATACTAGGTCTGCCAAAGTTGAAGAGAAAGAACAGGATACGATCGAGGGTATATCTTGTGTGAATGCCTGCCGCAAAGGAAAGAGATACATGCTTAAGGTGCCACCAGCTCCGTACGCGGTAGATGCAACTGCGAGGAAGGGGAGAATCATGAAAACGTGCATTTGGGGGATGAGAAAGGTTTGTTCTGGCCCCTGGGAATATAATTCATAAACGAACACAAATGCCAGCAAATGGCAAAAGGGGGATGAAAACGCCACCGCTGAGATGATATGCAAAAGATGAACGCGGACTTTCCAATTCTTACTAATGTGGCCCGAAGGCTACGGCAACTTTATTTGATTCTCAGGTTGCTCCTATGCCCGCATGTCGTCATTGAGGGAAGCCACCCTGTTGTTGTTGTTGTTGGTGACTTGAAGGCATTCGCGAGGCAGTCCACGAGAACATGGCCATGTCGCAGATACGCGCAAGAACCTGTTGAGAAGATGCACGGCTCTCATGACTGATGAACGACATAGCGACACAAAGCTTATTCAAGTCGCTGTCTGGACTTTGGTCGACCTGGGGTGGCAGAGCGTTGGGGAAACCACCAATGCGGCTACCGTAATGACGAGCGATCGCAATCGAGTAGATGGCATCGCGCACCTCGTGCATGCACAGGACGCCACGTAGTACTGAGAGGGCGCCGTCGGCTGCTCCAGGCGGGGCAGTGTCTGAGCCCGAGAATTGGACAAAGTCTCCGAGATGTTGCCAGAAGTCGACTTGCGACCTCTTGACATCATCAAGCGTAGGGGGATATGCCAATTGACGTGTGGGGTTTGAGTCCAGGTTTTGATTCGTCATAAGAGCTTCCAGCACGTCGAGGCGCGCACGGGTTTCTCTCATCGCAAAGTCTTCGCCTTCTGGCTGTGCTCCGTTGGTGCTTGGAAGATTCTGCTTGCACGTACTCAGCAAGTGCCATAACAAGCGAGCCTCTTGACTAAAGACGCCGGTCATGTCGGTATCGGCAGTAGCCTTGTACTTGATGGTCTCGGTGAAGAAAGCGGCCTCTTCATGTAGGGAGCGGTCGTTAAAGACTCTGTTGAGAGCGTTGTTGTTCGTCGAGAACCAGTTGGTCTCAAGTACGAGGTCGAGCCCTTGGCAGTAATCGTTAATAAAGATGCGGGAGAACTCGTCGTCGATTTCACGGGGCACTGGCGAGGTCCGCTGAGGAACCTCGGGCGGGCTGTGGTTGCAGATGCCAAAGATGTCTTGGATACCCAACCGCTTGCCTGAATCTGCGTTAGGACTGTAATGGCGATATGGAGCAGGATACCAACCTTTCATGGGCTCTGGCGGAGGCGGGTGGTAGCTGGCGCCTGGAGGCCCTCTCATGTTGGGATCCATGGGGTGCACGCCGTTGTAATGTTGGGGTGGCTGTAAATTGGGATCGGCTTGGGCAAGTGCAGGGTCTATGGCGTGGAAGTTGCCTTGCTGGTGTTCGCCACTCGTAGCAGGAGCGGCAGTCGCGTACCCCGCGGACGAGGCAGGCGCGTACCCTTGGGGTACCGGACTTTGGCTGTAGTTGGAGGAGGAAGGTGCGGGCGCGGGTGCGCTTGTCGCGTGGGGTGCGGGCGCGGAATTGGGAGCAGGTTGTATTTGGGCGGGACCAGATTGCTGCTTGAAAATCGGGTCGTAACCCAAGCACTCTCGTTTGCTCTTCTGGCAGTTCCGGCACATGGGGTGGGCTTCGTCGCACTGTCGGGGTGGTGGTTAGCGCATGAGCAGGTGAGTAGTGATGTTGGTGCGCGATGCAGAAAATTTGCCAGAAATCGGCGCAGCTGTATTTGCAGCCCGCAACGGCGATGTTGCGAGGCAAAGTGCTGCAGCCCACTGAATAGCAGTGTTGCTGCACAGCCGGTCGCTTCTGACACGCGAGAGGTTGGATTAGAGGAGTTTGGGTTCCTCGCTCGGTTAAGCAAGCGACAAGCAATAGCTCCTCTGACATCGCGTCGCGTCTGCACCGCGTTCCATTGACGTATGCACTCACCTTTATTCTCCGTTTGCGACATGTCAGACAGCCAGTCTTGGTGCGACGCTTGATCTCCTTCTTGTGGCGACCACCAGACAGCACTCTCTGGTCGCCCTGCGGCGGCAGCTGGTATCGCATGGCATTGAATTGCGGGCCCATGTTGCCCATCATGGGCGGGCCTTGCTGCGCATGCGCTGGGTGCGGATAGTACTGCGGCATACCGTGCTGCGGCGGTGGGAGCGGAGAGCCCATGGGCTGGGGCGGCTGCTGAGGTTGCGCCTGGGGCTGCTGGCCGTCCTGCAGACGTATTGGCGGCAGATTGAGGGGCGGCAGCGACATGTTGGAGCCCTGGGGAGAGCTGCGGTAGCCATCGTTGCTCTGCTGGCCTTGGGGCGGCGGGTAGGTATACGTGGGCTGCATCGAGGGCGACGGGTACGAGTGCGGTGAGGGATAGGCGACGGCCTGCTGCTGGCGCGACTGCATGTTAGGATCGGCCATGCTCTGGTGGGAAAAGTGCGAAGGGGCCGGCGAGTAGGGCGCCTGGGAGATGTGGGTGGAAAAGTCGTGCGACATGGGCTAGCAATGGAGTCTGCCACCGGGGCGCTCTTCAGTTCTTGGGGATGTCTTGAAGAGCACGGCGGCGCTAGAAAGCTTGAGGCGGATGGGAAGAGGGACGGCAAGCCTGGCAAGGAACTGGGATTAGCTGAGTTGGCGAAGGCGTTATGACCCGCGGAACAGGGGCCTGGCCTCGCTCGGTTCGACGCCGCCGCGCTGCACGTAGTTGTGCGTGCACTACATAGATTGGGATAACAAATACGTGAACGACTCAAAGACTAACAAAGTCCAGGGAATGCAAGTGAGAAGGGCTAAATGATGATAGATGGGGAAGGATGAGGAAGATGAAGACCTGGCATGCCAGCCGCCGCTCCCAGAAATGCATCGCGCGCGATATCCCTCACTCATCTCGTCCGTCTAGGAGGCAGCGAGTGGATTCAGTGGAGGGTGGGCTGCAGCTGGCTAGCCGCCTTTAGCAGGTAATGAGGGCGCATGTGGCAGTGCCATGAAGGAATCAACCGACTTTACTTACAAGCTGCCTACAAGCGAGTCTCGCTTGAGCGGAAGGTAGCGAACAGGGTACTGCTGTCCGACGGGCTAGCGACGCGCGACGATGAGCTGGCCGAGGAGCGCGGCGGCAGAGGAGCAATTCTAGCGACGAGAGGGCGGCAGGCCGATGCAGCCAGAGCAATCGGGCATTTCTTCAGCAAAAGGCTAAAGGCGCAGACCGCTCCCCAGCGCAAAAAGAACTTCAGCATGCCAGGGCCGCTAGCCTGCATCGGGCCAATCACGTGCCGCTCTGCGCTGCGCACTGGGGCCCGCCACACTGTTCTTCCTGCAATCAGCGTCGTCCCGTCCGCTGCTGCACCTCTCTATTGCCCATTACCCAAGTACCTTACTGAGCCGAGCCTCGTGCGGCGTGCAGCGACATTCTGACCCGCTTAGACACACCATGCAGCCGCCCATACCACCCGCACTGCACCGTTTGCGTTGCTCAACCCTCATCCGACGGACTGGCAGAGGACTGGCAGAATTTGATTAAGGCTGATTGCGCAGTACCTGGGTCCCGGTCCAGCCGGCGCGAGCGGCATCTCTTCGAGAACACCTCCCTCTTGCACCCTCTGCACCCTCTGCACCCTCAGTGCTCGCTTAGCTATCGGTGGCTTGCTCCTGCATCGTCACGACGAACCATTCTGTGCCTGCTTGCACATCTCTGATGCCGCGTATTCTTAGCCTGCCCTTATTTCACTGCCCATTTCACTGCGCAATCCTTTGCTCCCACTGCGGGTGACGTATGTAGCTCCCGATGTGACAATCGTGCAATGGTGCGCTGTCCAACGATCAAGCACACGAGCATTCGATCTCCAGACTGCGTCTTACGGGCCGGTTTCCCTTCCAGGGTGGCCAGCGGCGCGCCTCGTCCTATCTAAAGCACGCGCTGACATCAACTTCCGCCTGTCCAATTCAATCTCCCTGCCTATTTACCCGCAATGGGCATATCGCAAGGGCGGCTTCCATTGCCAGCCACAACGCCGTATCTGAAGACATCTGGCGGAATCCTCCATGGGTTATCTGCGGGTAAATAAACGCATATCGGGTTAAGCCATTGCCTGCTAGAGCTGAGTGTGACCAACCTGTAGGAGGTGCATCACCGGCAAGACTTGTCCTTCCGTCTGGGTAGCACTAGGAGGCCGCCAACACGTGTCGAGATATCTACTGGACACCTCACCATTGTCGCCGAACAACCTTCGCGCCAAACAAGCTGGTTGGACTTTGCGATGCGACATGCGATGCGACAGGCGATACTGCATTGCGAATCCCTTGTCCAATGTTGCACAAGCAAAGACCCTGGTCCTAGGGCTGACAAGGTGCATCTAACAGGCCGCTACCAGCGCGCGCGCAGGGAAGTCTGCACTCGGTGCGACCAAGAACACAGCGCCAGAGAAGCCTGTGGAACACTGCTAATTGTCGTTCGTTCGCAAAGTGTCTCTCGCGGGCGCCCGCTGAGATATGGTAAGATCTCGTCTATCGCAGTGCACAGAAAAGCCAGGTCAGGGATACCCCCGCACACGAAAGCATCGAACGCTTCTCGAACAAAGTTGAACGCCAACCGAGCGAGCTTTGCGCATCATCCTTCCGCCCCGCTCTCGCCTACAGACCGCCTGAAGCGACAGGTGTCTTGATCATCGCTGCAATACGAGATGCATCGGGCTTTGCAAGGGATGGCTTTTTCCTTGCTCAGTAGGATCTTGCACAATAACATTTTCGATTGTTATGCCTGATCTCACAACAATGGCTGAGTCGTGCGGTGGCCACTTCTTACCCAAAGCTGCAGACCCTGAATAAGTTCACGCCATTGAGTTCACACTAAACATTGCTGTCGCGAACCGACTCGGCTTTACCCTGGAGTATCCCAGAATCATGAGTAGGGATAGTCAGCAGCACAGACGTTGGCCAAGCGATATCCACGGTGTAGGAATCGGCGCGTTGCTCGTTCATTCCATAATCATGGTCGCGCACACCTGACCACCTCGACACCAACTCCAAGTTGTGTCAACCTGGGTCGTCTCGAACACCGACAATTCCCGTAGCTTAAGGACACTGGGAAATTCCAATAATCCCGCGGTTCATCAATATCGTTCTGACCTGCCAGTACCACAATTGTACAAATACCAGGCAACAGGTTTTCTGCGTGATTGAGAGCCACATTGTAAGAATGGCGATTCCACACGCGGCGACGATATGATGAGCAACCACAGTTTGAACATGCAATGGAAAACCATGGTTTGTGGTGCATCCAAAGAGTCATGGAATTAAGGGTCTGCATGCATGCGAGGGCGCTGAGAGGCAGGCTTAGCGTATGGAAAGGGCTGATGCTATCATCGCAAGAGTTGGGAACCAAGGTAGGTGAACACAAACTACTGTGTCTACTTCGACTCGTAGGCATCTCGCAAGTTCTGACCGGCACGTTTCTCTCCAATATGAAATTATCGATTCGCCCTTTTTTTGTGGTACTTTGGTTGTCGTGGCCTCCACCTTCAGGCTGCCATTTCGGTACCGTGGGACGCACCACAGCAGAATTGTACAAAATAAGGGGACACCTTCTGTCCTCTACATTTTCATATCCTCGCTCAGTCTTTATCTTGTGCACACAGCCTACTGACTACCACTTTGTCCAACCGGCACTCCACCCCAACTTTTTCAGCCCGTCTAACTCCCACACATACCAACCGTCAACATGTCCACAACACTAGACCAACAAAAAGAGGCCGCCTACACCCTTCTCTCTGGTATGCTCACAAGCGTTCTACAAAAAGAGTGGAAAATAACAGACCGCCATTCGGCACAGTCCGCCCTCCTCGACGCACTACTCCCCAAGCCAACCCCCGCCCCAATCCCAGCCCCAACTCCCATCGCCCCCATTAAGATCCAGAAACAAAGCATCTTCCGCCTAGGCAGCCGCACATTCGACCTCGGCCCCGAACGCGACTCCTCCGCCAGTTCCTCCGACGATGATGATGATGTTGCTCCGATCCGGAATGCGCGTCAGCTTAAGAGTGAGATGCGCAGGGTTAATGCGATTCAGAGGCGTGCGAAGAGGAGGGCGGAGAGGGGGAGGAGGAGGATTGAGATGCATCTTGGGAGGATGGAGGGGGTAGTGGAATTTGAGACTGAGACCAAGACTTTGGAGACTACGAGGAGTGTTGCGGAGACCCCGGTGAGGATGGTGAAGGAGTTGGAGGACTACAATAGTCCTGCGAGGAGGAGTCTGCTTAGCGATAAGCTCATGTCGCCTCGAAGTGCGTCGTTCAGTCCGGTGTCCAGCGAGGCCAACCGCGAGGTTGAGGGATACGACAGTGTCGACAGCCCCATATCGGAACCCGTACAGGTACCCGGACGACTACAGCGCAAGGGGCCGAATATCAAGTTCGTCAAGCCGGCTTCCAGCCAGCGACGCGGCCTCGCTCAAAAAGATTACCTAGGCCGACCACAGCGCCACTGCAGCGACTGCGACCGTACGTTACTGGCCTCGCACTGGACATGCCACGTCAAAGGCCGAATGCATCAATACAACGCAGCTCGGGACAAGCAATCCCCTCCGGTGCAGGGCATCAAGACTAGACAAGAGTATATGCGCGGCTTGAAGCAGTATTGCGTGTACTGTGACCGTCAGGTCCATTCGAGGGGCTGGGGCGGCCATTTGAAGGCGCGAGCGCATTTAGAGAATGTTGCGAAGGTGAAGGCGAAAGAAGAGGAAGAGAGTGTTCGGCTTCACGCTCCGACACCGGAGTCCGTTGTGCTGTCTGTGGAAGTGGAAGAGGAAGAGCGGAAAGAAGAAGAGGAGGAGTATGAAGATGATGGGTTCGGAGAAGAAGGATACGAATATGGTCACTATTGCGATGACTGCGAGGTCACATTCGCTGGTGCGAACTGGGCGCGGCATTTGACTTCGGCAGGCCACGTGTTTAATGTCATTAAAAACTCTCCGGGGGATGAGGATATGACGTCTGATGATGAGGAGGAAGAAGAAGAAGAGGAGGAGGAAAGCATGGCTGACTACGATTCCGCCACTGATGGGGAGAGCATCGTGTATGATGATGCTACGGATGAGGATTCTGCGTCGCCGTCGCCATCACTGTCGCCCGCGCCTATGTCCGTTTCCAATGAGGAAATCACATTCCCTCACGACGGGACACCGGTTGCCGATCTCGCATCGCCCCCCTCCCTCACATCTTCCCCCACCTCCCCCGCTTCCCTCGCTTCCTCGCCTCCTTTCTCTCCCGCTAGTGATGAATTTACTTCGGGAGTAAATTTCTACTGCGAGACCTGCAGGGTCACCATCTTGTCTGCGGATCCCTGGGAGATTGATGAGCATGTGGCTGATCACGCATATGCAGCCTGCGAGAAGGAAGAGGTGGTGGGGATGGATTGGTTGAGCCAGCTGAGGGAGGCTGCTGGGTGGGTGAAGGATGTGGAGGTGGAGGTGGAGGATATGGAGGGGGTAGAGGGAGTAGAGCAGGGTGGCATGGAATGTGAATACAATGGGTGGGCATGGAAGATGGGAACGGATGGCAAGGTGCTTGGGAGTATACGACGTAGTCCGTCTTGTTAGTGGTCGAGCGCGTATTGATAGGTATCCGCCAGGATACCTTCTGAATTTGTGTAACTTGCGGAGGAGCGTCAGTGTAGTCTACTGAGTCATTTTCAGCATCGTATTCCACCATGATACAAACACAATTTGATGAGCATAATCACATTGAATTTCCAACTATCTGACTATCCCTGCAACGTCCCAACGTATAGGTATCGAGAGTAATCCCACAATGAAACGCCGCCCAATGCACTCGCACTTACTGCAATGCCACGAAAACGCCATATATGCTGACCAGATACCATATTACCCCTACAACCATAACAACCAAGACGACCAGCTAAGTATCCGTCTTGGGCTTCTTGTTCGGCAGCGCCGGCACCTTGAAACCGCCAGCATCGACCTTCGAGCTGCCGTTGAGCTGCGTGAACGAACCACCCTTGAACCACCTATCCTCGTCTGCCTTCCTCTTACGATTGGCTTCCTCACGCGCCTTGGGATCAACCAATTCGAGGCCTTGGACAGGTGTGAACGCGATGGAGTTCGTTCCCGCACCACCAAGACCCACACCACCGGTTCGTAGGCCCTGTGCACGTAGACTGGTCGCCGTACCGCTTCCGCCAAAGCCTTTGAGAGACGAAGCCGCACCGAGAGTGGTGTCTGTGCCCCAGCCGGGGTTCTTCTTGCTGAGTTTGGCGCGCGTCTTGGGATCGATTTGTTGCGCGCGGAGTCGTCCGGTGTCTGTGGCTCCGATCATGCCCATGCCTGCTACGGAGTCGCCATATCCGACTTCCTTCTCTTCTTTGCCGAAAGTCATCCGGTTTTGGGCCTTGCGGATCTCGGTCATTGCTGTTGCTTCCTTGGCCTTGCGGGCTCGCCTTCCACCTCTCTTGCGGGACGGCTTCTCATCAGGTACGGGAAGGGCCCTTCCTCCGGCCTTTTGATTCGCTGGCATTTCGACCAGCTTGTCTAGACGCCGCTCGCATTCTTTCCTCAGGTCCATACCTATATCGGCAGTGCCGGAGTTGGAATGGGCATCTACACGTGCGGCGAGAATGACCTTAGCAGCCACAATGCGTAGCGCCTGTTTCCTCAGATCCGGTCTTTGGTTCTGGACAATGTCGCTGTGGTACAGGTAACCCTCGTGCCTCAGACCCATGTTCGAAAGTCCGACGGTAGCTCCTGAGACTTTGGTCGAACCTAGGGGAGCGATGTTGCAAGCGGGTGTCTTGGCTAGGTTCGCGATACCGCCCGAGTATGAGATGAGATGGGCGGCAGTCAAACTTCCAATAAGCGCGGTAAGGTTAGGCGCGAACAGCTCAGTTCGGGATTCGACGAAACCCAGAATCTTGGACTTGGCGGCGTGTAGCTCGAGCAGCAGATGGCATGCGTTTGACACCAGGTCCAGCTCGGATTGTTCAAGAAGTCTCCCTTCCACACGTGTGGCTTCAATCTCGACAATCATGACCTGGGCGGGCTCCATCCCTTCGATCTGCCTCAGCTTGGGGCTGATGTCCTTGATGCTTGACAAAGGTCCGCCACCGATGACCAAACATGCTTTAGCGTAGACCACAGGGTTCTTAATCAGATCCTCCAAATGGGGGAAGAAGGCCGAGTAATGGTCGCGGATGAACTTGTGAACGCTAGCGGTCTCGCCATCGATCTGTGTGGAGAACTCGTTGGCTTCTGTGAGGAGTTGGTACTCGGGAGATTCTTCGAACGATTCGCCCTCGACTATGTCCATCTGGTCCTTAGCCTCTTCGATGCGCTTGAGGACGGGGTCCAGGTTCGCCTTGAGCTGCTGCGCGGATCGGATGTCGGCCGGGCCCTTGTTTTCCTTGTCTTTTTCCTGCTGCTTCTCGCGATATTGCGCCTCCTCGTCGACCATCTCATCGTCGTCGCCAGAACCCTCGGCAAAGTCATTCTCCAGATCCTGGACATCCTCATCACCACTGTCTGCGAAGTCCGCCAGCAGCTCTTGCTCGAGGGTCGCCATGGCAGAATGTAGGCTGGGGGTATTCGGGGTATGTGCGGGTGAGCGTCGCTACCAGGCAATAGCAGTTGGGGGTGTCGAGGAAGTCGCGACGGCGGCCAGAGGTTACCCTCCTAGTGGATATCGGTTGAGTGCTGAGTTCGATATCGTTGGTATACTACGTACCTGTTGCCTGGGATGGCCGCCGGTCGAGTTGTGAATGCGTGCGGGTGAGTGTCGTGGGCAGAGAGAAGTTGCGCCGGCAGTGACGTGAAAGTGCTAATTGCTTGGCGTGCAGCGGACAAAAGTTGCGCTAAGGCAGTCGCGTTCTCACGTTACAGAATAATCTTGTCGCATCGCAGAACGACGACCTACATACCACAATTGCTATCGCCAAGCTATTGTACCGTAGTCGTACTGCGCAGGCATCCGCGATCACGTGTTCGGCGGTTTGAGCGATCCGGACCAGCCTTTGGAGCTCTGTTAGTCCCACACGACCCAGGCGCGACAGCCTTCACGACCGACGTGCGCCTCGTCCGCTATCACCATCGCGCGCATACCACTACCTCCCATATAAAGCCCTCGATCATCGTATTCAAACGCCAATATGGAGGCCTCACGAGGACCCCCGCGGGTCAAGAACAAGGCCGCGGCGGCTGTCCAGATCTCTGCCGAACAATTGCTGAGGGAAGCCGTCGACCGTCAAGATGAGAAGCTCAAGGCGCCAACGCAGCGCTTCGCCGACATCGAGGAGCTGCATGAGTTCCAGGGGAGGAAGAGGAAGGAGTTTGAGGACTATGTGCGGCGGAACCGTATCAACATGAACAACTGGATGCGCTATGCTTCCTGGGAGCTGGAGCAGAAGGAATTTCGACGTGCTCGAAGCATCTTCGAACGAGCTCTCGATGTCGACTCCACGTCCGTCCCGTTGTGGCTGCGATACATTGAGAGTGAAATGAAGCACCGCAACGTCCAGCATGCCCGTAACCTTCTCGACCGCGCCGTTACCATTCTTCCGCGAGTCGATAAGCTATGGTACAAGTATGTCTATATGGAGGAGACGCTAGGCAACATCGACGGTGCCCGCTCTGTCTTCGAACGCTGGATGCAGTGGGAGCCTGAGGAGGCGGCATGGAGCTCATACATCAAGCTGGAGAAGAGGCACGGCGAATTTGAGAGATGCCGGGCAATCTTTGAGCGCTTCACCGTCGTTCATCCCGAACCCAAGAACTGGATCAAATGGGCCAAGTTTGAGGAGGAGAACGGCACCAGCGACCTCGTGCGCGATGTCTACGGTACCGCCGTCACAACACTGGGAGACGACTTCATGGATGAGAAACTTTTCATGGCATACGCGAAGTTCGAGGCAAGACTGAAAGAGCTGGAACGTGCCCGAGCTATCTACAAATTCGCTCTTGACCGCATGCCACGATCGAAATCGGTCAACCTACACAAAGCCTTCACAACCTTCGAGAAGCAGTACGGAGATCGAGACGGTATTGAAGACGTAATCCTGTCGAAACGACGTGTACACTACGAGGAGCAGATCAAAGAGAACCCCAAGAACTACGACAGCTGGATCGATTTTGCCAGACTGGAAGAGACGTCTGGCAACCCCGACCGAGTCCGCGACATATACGAGCGAGCGATCGCCCAGATACCACCCACACAGGAGAAGCGCCACTGGAGGCGGTATATATATCTTTGGCTGTTCTACGCAGTCTGGGAGGAGACAGTTTCGCACGACATTGAGCGAACCCGTCAAATCTACCAAGAGTGCATACGTTTGCTGCCACACAAGCGCTTCACGTTCGCCAAAGTATGGCTGGCTTTTGCTCATTTCCTCGTGCGACAAGGAGAGCTCACCGCTGCACGCAAGCTGCTGGGTCAAAGTTTGGGCATGTGTCCAAAGGACAAGCTCTTCAAGGGCTACATCGAACTGGAGATGAAGCTCTTCGAGTTCAACCGCTGTCGGCAGCTTTACACCAAGTACATCGAGTGGAACGGCTCAAACTGCCACACATGGATCAACTTCGCCAACCTGGAGCGTGGTCTCGATGATCTCGACCGTGCGCGGAGCATCTTCGAAATCGCCGTCGACACGCAAGAAATGGACATGCCGGAAGTTCTATGGAAAGCATACATCGATTTCGAAGAAGAAGAAGGCGAATACGGCCGCACACGTGCACTATATGAGCGCCTCCTCGAAAAGACCGACCACGTCAAAGTCTGGTTGTCCTACGCGCAATTCGAACTCGGCGTACCCGACGAGACCACCCCCGAAGACGACGAAACAATCAGCGAGCTCGCCAAATCCCGCGCTCGCGAGGTCTTCACCCGCGCGCACACCAGACTCAAGGAGAAGGACCTCAAGGAAGACCGCGTGGCGCTCCTCAGCGCCTGGAAGGCATTCGAAGATGTTCACGGAACAACAGAGGACAAGGACAAGATCGAGAAACAGATGCCCCGCAAGGTCAAGAAGAGGAGAAAGTTGGACGACGACAGCTTCGAGGAATACGTCGATTACGTTTTCCCGGCCGACGACGAGAGTGCGGCGAAGTTGGCGAAGCTTATGGCGAATGCGCAGAGGTGGAAGATGGCGCAGGCTGCGAAGGCGGCTGCAGAAGAGAATGGGGATGGTGCGGACGAAAATGGCGAGTGAGGAGATTTGTGGTGTTTGGATTGGACTGTGTGCGTAAAGTAGAGGGAATCAACATTGCATGCAGGTCAACAGTCATCATATCTTTCGTGACGTTAAAAGTAACACAATACACAACGATTCTAGTGTGCGTATGTCGAGGATTTCCAACACCAAAAGCGTTGCCCTAATCATTTGGCTCCACCATGCTCGTGCGGGCGTAGTGCCAATGACGTCGTGTAGCTCCAATGGGAATTGCCTCGGCATCTTCCCCGGATTCTGCAACCTCCGCATCCAACTCCGCAAGCTCTACTACCCATTTGACAAATACATAACACTCGCAACTGTGAAAGCTCTATCAACACGCTATAGTAGTCATCAAAAACACTTTTAAGACTTTCAAGGAAGCTTTTACGATGCCGACCGCAGTCGCAAAGGTCCAGCGGCAGGGAGTGAGCAAGGAGCTCGCCGAACCTCTACCCGAGCCGGAGACTTTCGAGGGATTGAAGGGTGTCAGGGAGATTGCGGGGGATCTGGGTAATCAGTGAGTATGGACAGGGTCCGTGAAGCTGTAATTGAACGCGCTTGTGCTAATGGTAAGCAGACGCGTCAAGGACAAGGTCATCATCGTTACCGGTATGCTCAATCTCCCTGGCACATCAAATATGCAGGGCATGTCTAACAGCATAACCAGGCGCGAACTCAGAGATAGGCATCGGCCGCGCAAGCGCGCACCAATTCGCGCGCAACGGCGCCCGCGCAATCTACGTCTGCGACTTTGCCGACAACCACCTCAAGACACACAAGCGCCAACTCAACACCCTATACCCCTCCACCGAGGTCCATATCCGGCAATTCGATGCCGCAGACGAGGCATCCGTACAAAAGGTCTGCCAAGAAGCTCTAGACACCTACGGCCGCCTCGATGTCTTCTTCGCCAACGCCGGAATCTCATCCGGCAAAGTATTCTGGGAGGAGTCCACAGAAGGCTTCATGAACGTCCTGCGCACAAACGCTCTATCCGTCTTCCTCGCCGCAAAACACGCATCGCGCGCTATGCTCAAGACCTCGGAGCAGAAACCATACCCAAAGGGCAGCATCATCGCCACGGCAAGCGTAGCAGGTCTCCGCTCCAACGCCGGCCCTACCGACTACTCCGCCTCCAAAGCCGCCGTCATCAGTCTGATGCAGACGTGCGCATACCAACTCGCCGGCTCCGGCATCAGGTGCAACGCTGTTTGCCCCGGGCTGATTGAAACTGGTATGACCAGGGTGACATACGATGCAGCGAGGAAGAGGGGTAGCGAGAAGAAGATCGGTCAGTTGAACCCGCTGCAAAGAGGTGGGCAGCCGGATGAGATTGCGAGGGCGGTGCTGTTCCTGGCTAGTGATGAGGCTAGCTATGTTAATGCGCAGGCTTGGGCTGTGGATGGGGGGTTGAGTGGGGGACTGCCTTTTGTACCGGGGAAGCTGGCGTAGATCTGGAAAGAGTGCGCGAGGGTCCTGGCACGAGAGATTGTGGCAGTGGTCTATGTCGGAAGGTATCATCGCGATTTACGTCGAGAGAAATCACGATGATTCCTTCAGACATAGATTACTGACACAATCATGCGGTACCTAGGTGAAATAGGAAAATATTACGCAGGCTCCTCGCGCCAGTATACTCGAAACTCGTTACTGGCATGCGGATGAATGGCTGCTGACTGTTTCTGTTCACGTGTCGTTACACTATCAAAACCCTTCATTTATTGCTCAGCCAGCCAAGACCCTGTGCTTACGAACACACATCCAACGACTAGCCGCGACGTCCCTGGATCCCTAGTATGCAGGTACCCTCCAGCCCCAACAAAACAAAAAGCGTGGTATTAGTATGATGTATCCGAACCATGGTTTGGCTCAGGGTAACCGAAAGCATTTGCACATGATAATTCGGACCCTTTCTCCCCCCCATCTTCTTGCACTTCATCTCATTTACTTGTTCATCTCGGAAGTTCAAGGGATAATAAGGCATTCAGCTCCAATAAGACACCTTTTACCCGACAATACTACTCACCAGCGTCGAAATGGCGGAGACACCAAGCATGACCCCGGAAGTCCCGAACATGATCCAAGACTCTTCCTCCGATCTACCATCCTTCGCACCCTCACGCCGAGCCACAGTTCCCGGTCGTCGATCGCCATCACAACCAGCCCCAACTATCTACCTCAGAGGCTTCAACTGCGTCGCCAGCGACCCAGAATACGACCTCGCACGAAGTGTGACAGGAAACGTACAGCCGTACTGGTTTGAAGAAACGCGGAATCCTGCAGTCCACTATGGCCCCTCTCGAAGACAGAGAAGGGAAAATGCGACGCGACGAGCTGATCGGGTTGGAGACGGTCATCTCGTCATTCCTGACACTGAGGAAGCTAAGTCGTCGGACAACAAGAACACGCAGCGAGAAGAGGCAAAAGAAGCGTTTCTGGAGGCTATGTGGCCAACGATCCGCGACGAATATCTCGCCATGTTCAATATGACTAGCCTGGCGCCAAAGCAAGAGAAACGCATGAAGACTGACACAATGGTGTTTCTGGAGGAGGAGTGGAATATCCTGGAGGAAGAGCGTAGGGCGGAAGAGCATAGGGCTGAGAAGCAAGAGGAGATGGAGCAGAGTAAGCCTATCGTTCGCTTGCCTGTTCGCAATGTTTCGGATGGGAAAGGGGCGTCGGGGAAGAAGTACAAGATGAAGGGGAAGGGGAAGGGGATGGTGAAGGTGAAGGACGGAAGTGGGGTGGAGGCGAAAGGGGAAAAGAAGGGGAGCATTTCGCAAAGGTTGAGGAAGGTTTTGGGGATGACTGCGAGGCCAGTGGTGGTGAAGGATGGGGTTGTTGGGCCGCCGTTTCATCCGGTGTTGTGAGGTTGATTTGATGACCAGGCTCGATACAATACGAATTACGGTACTATAGTGGCGGCTAGGGCGCAGTATGGGTCTGGAGCAGGTCGCTAGAAGCAAAGCTGGCCAATTGTGGACTCCATAATCGATAAGACCGATTCATCTACTTCCTCCCATGGTACTGCAGCGATGCCGAGTAGACGAGCCACTCACGACTTCCGAGTTGCATATTACACCCATTTGACTAGGTTCTCTTCAACAATGAGTATCATTATTTCAAGAACTAAGCAGCCGAACGTGTGAAAACTTCGCTTGATGGTGACGTATTTCGCGAAGCACGTTGTGCGCAAGTGTTCTTTCTCCGACACGCGAAACTGCCTTCCAAATTCACCACTCCCCGTGACCATCCCAATCCACATTCACCACGACAAGCAGCTCTGCCGCAACATTCGTATTCGGACAACTCTCACTTTGAGCTATGACCGCCCGAATATTTTTACCTTGAGCTCCTCTCACTTTCGCGCCTACCAATCTCTCTCCCCACACACCGGCTCACCACGACCACCGCAACAGCCATGGAGAGTCGCCAACCACCACCCGAGCGCTCCAGCTCAAACGATTACATCGACGAGACACAGTTGTCGTTCAACAAGCTTGAGGCGCAGAGATGGGATCGCGCGTTGGAGAGCTCACAGCGCGCACTCAACCAGTCGATGAACTTACCCTCCTTTCAGGACCTTTGTAGCTACAGCGCACCCATTCGGGGCCGAGATTTTCAAGGGAGTTCAGCCTGGTCTGAAGTCAGTATGAGCGGTGGCCTAGGTGATGACACTTTCCAGTCTCCTTCTAGCGATACTACTGTTAAGTTGAGCAGCGGCTACAAGGAACTCGAGGACAGCAGTGCCTGTACCTTCTTTCCGACGCCTTTCACCGTGGCCGCGACATCAGAGACGGGTGCTACGAACGGTTCCGCATCCAGTGATTCTGATATCTCACCGTTATCTCAGCGCCAGTCCTCCGCCGGCGTCGCGGTCGAGTCACCTTTTCGACCTGAGTTCGGCGGTCCAGTCCAGACTCCAGCCAACCACGGCATGAGGTGGTCTCCTGCGCAGCTGCAGAAAGATATCGCACGAAACTCCGACAGCTTCTACTCCCACCCCAGCATAGCCAAGACTCATGTTCCCTCCCGTCCGCAGTCAACATTCCCCATTCCACGAAACATGCCTTTCGAGGAGATGGTCGTACCGCGCGGACCGAACCTGCATCAGCGAAGGCTCGATGCAAGAGTGTCAAGCTCCCCGGGTATACCGTCACCGCTGGGCCCTGGACGCATGCGAGAGCAGCTCCACGAGGGAGACCTTGGAGACGTGTCGCTCTCACCGGTCCCGAACGGACGTCTCCACACGAGCGATAAGATGAAGTACGGGAAGACCAAGTCAAGCAACAAGGATACAAAGAACGCCTGGCAGAACACCCCGTCTCCACATTCACCTACCGTGCAGCGCTACGCATCCAGCAGCTCGATCGACTCGCCCATGTTCGACGTATACCCGCGAAGCGCTGAGATAGATGGAGAAGGGAACTTGACACTGGGTGGTTCGCCGTACAGTACCGGTTCTGGACATGCGCGGAAGCACACTGATCCTTTCGTTGATCATAAGCCGTTCCAAATCAGCACAGGGTCTACGACTCGCATGTGTGGAGTTGGTGCACCTGGTTGGCCTGTCCCACCGGCTAGCACTCGCCCGCCGTCTGTTCATCCTAGCATGTATGGAGGTACTCGGTCGTCTTTACGAAACCCGGCTGGCATTCAGATGTGTGGGAGCAACAATGGGATTAGCTGGGACCCCCGATCTCCGGAGTTCGTGGGCATGGTATCTGCAGATCGCTTACGTGACAGTAACAGTGGGATGAGCTTCAAGCCCTATGGTCCACCATCCGGGTTTGGCAATGTTCGGATGAGTGAAACTCAGCCCTTCGATCGCCCGTCAAGTGTCATTGTGTGCGAAGCTCCTCTACCCATACCATCCCCATCTGAGACTCGCATGAAGAGCGGCTTCAAGCCCTTCGTACCCTCATCTCAGTCATTCGGCAAGCCTTTCATGCCCTCATCTCCGTCGTTCGGCCAACCGCTTCGTACATCCTCCACCGCAACATGGCCCACCTCCGCGCCCGCGACATCCGGCTTCGCCACCCCAGCCTCGACAGAAGACCCTCACCCTCCACATGAACCAGGCTTCCAAGCCCGTCTACCCCTCCGCTCAAACCTACCCATCCCACCCCCACCCCTCTCCTCCATGCAAGGCCAGTACGAACATTCTCCCAAAGCCCGCGCCCGTCTCGACGCCCAGAAGCCCATCCGCTCAGCCTGGATCCGCTCCGAAGCATCCAAGATAGCCCAACTAGCAAAACTGCGCCACGCTATGGAAAAGCGGTACTTGAAAACCCGTTCGGACAAAGACTACGAAGCTTGGCAAACTCTGCAAGCCGCCTACGATGACGCTACGGACCTGGAGAAGAGGCAGGAAGAGAGGCGGAACCTTTTCCTTAGAGAGAAGAAGATGGAGGCTTTGAAGACCGATAAGACGGAGGATATGTCTGCTGCTGCGAGTCGTGATGGTGTTGGGGCGGAGGGAGAGGAGAATGAGAAGTTGCTTGGGTATAAGATGGCGCTTATGGAGCGTGTGTGTGCGGAGGTTAAGCCTGATGGGGATGAGGAGGAGGCTATTACTGCCGAGATGTTGGCGACGTTGAGTAAGGAGGAGAAGAAGGCTATTCGGAAGCTGCTCGTTGGTCGTATGGAGCGGAAGGCTTGAGTGCGCTTCGTGGTCTGGTCGTCGAGCTTTTCGCAGGAGCGCAGAGGACCAAGAGCGGGATGGTGAGGTTGAGATCTTGTGTGTAGACGAGAACTTGCTACTGTGGTGTGCCACTAAAGGAATATGATGATGTATACATCACCACCAGCTTGTAAATGATGAGATTATTCAAACGCCTGTGGCTCTTCCGGGCTGCTTTCACGTCCTCCTTTTCGAAACCCACCCCCGTAGCCATCACTCCAGACGCAGCTGCGTCTGGACGTCACGGGAACGTATGCGCACTCCATTTGCCCCCGTGATGGTCAAAGTGCAATTCACGAGAAATGTCTCGTTGGGGATACAACAAGTGATGAATTACAACCATCTAGCATACACCAACAGGAAGTGAGAAACTACGTATTCGCATATCAAACCGACCGCGTAGAAGAAATCACAATGATCATTTCATGTAATCATTCACACGTTTCCGTTATCGATTGAACGACCCATAAAACCGTCGGAACAACATTCTTTTAATGGATTTTGCCGATGCTCTAGAGAGAGATGTAGAGCATTGGCAAAACCCATTAAAAGAACAGGGCAGCCCCAGCCATGGTATCATCAGCAGCTCGCCGAAGCAACTGCCGACACAAAAAAAAAACCGCCCTTGAATGGAAACGAGAAACAGGGTTGCGAAACAATAAGACATTATGCACTATTTGCCGCCGAGCCGGAAGATGCAAAGGGCGACTTTTGGTGGTATCCGATATGCTACAGTCCAACAGACAGGACGGATGTTGTATGTCGTTGAAGAGGTATATACGCCGAAGGAACGCCAATAGGTATGATACAGTACAAGAGCGATGCGGAACAGGTGATGCGACGGTATGATGGGGGGTATCAATGGGTCTGGGCTCCACGAGCCGACGTGACGTGACGTATGTAGCTTCTGCGACGGGAAGGGATGGATGGAAGATGCTGCGCTCTTATCGATCGACACTGTTGCCGTCCCGATAGACGGCTAGACGGCGAGTTCAAGGCCGAAACCGAGCCGGGTACTCAGGGTACGTCTGTCCGGCGAAGTCGATGGGTGTCGAAGAAACCGAGCTCGGCTGTGTCATGGGCAGGAGCACAAGGTCAGCTTCATGCATGGAGTCGGTCCATTGCACTTCCATCTTTCTTTGCTTCTCCCGACCCGTCTCTACTAGTCACCTCTGTTGTCTTGCGTAGGAGCTTTCTTGCGAGGGCGAGAGGCGCGTGTCGTAGGGGAAGGAGGGGGAGTGTGGTTGTTGAATTGGGGGTGAGCGACGCAGCGAAGGCGAGTTGCGCATGTTGTCGGAAACGAGTGTCGCGGCCGCGCTCTGGGTTAGGGGTGTTGAGGTTCCCGCGACGGGTGTTCCTTTTGAGGAGCCGCCGCTTCCTGAGGTTCGGTGCGCGGTTCGGACCGTCGATGGGGTGGCGGGAGAGCGGCCACCTGCTCCCTGCGGTGCCCGGGGGGTTGTGCTGGCACCGCTTTCGACACTGACATGTCGGTTTCGGGGTGTGGTGTCGCGACTGTCGCTGTCCGCACGCCGTCGTGGCGTCGACTTGGGCGTGGTCTCGTGGCCGTTGCTTTCTTTTTGCCGAGGCACAGACTTGCTGGCTGTGTTTGCTCGACTGCGTGTAGGAGGTGTCGAGTGCGCCTGTGTGGATGGGTCCGTAAGTGGTGGGGCCTCTGCTGCTCTTCTGCTGCTTTGCCGGTTGGGTATCTTGGGAGGAGTGAGAGGTTTAGTTGCTGGCTCCGATCTGCCACCAGCTACTTGTGGGGTGTTCTGTGCGACAGGCTCGGGACTCGCCATACCCCCGACGCGTGGTGTACCTTCCCAGCTCTTGCGCTTCATCATACGACCCAGGATACCCACAAGCTCAGCAGCGTCCTCGAACTCAGTGTCATCCATTGCTTCTTGCGCGCGGTAGACATCCTTAATTGCGCGTCGAGCGACGCGCCGCGAGGCATCATGGTCGTGGACACAATCCCACAAGAACGCGCTGTGCTCGAGCGCGACCGACAAGCGCAGTGGATGTGAGCCAGGAAGGAACGAAGTGGCGTACTGAGTGGCGGTGGTGAAGTATCCACTAGCTAACGGAACGAAGTTCAGGGGTGGGAGTATGAAGGAGGAAGGCTGCGGAATGGGAACCGGGTTGAGGCCCGGAGGCGCGTTGATCGTCGGTCCCGGTGATGGTGTTCCGACTGGCCCTCCCGCTGCATAGGGATTCGTGACGAAGGATGTCTCGGATACGATGGAGTCGATGGGTTCGCGTAATGCTGGTTGTTTGCCTGCGCGCTTCGAAGGGGGTGACAAGCCCGGGGGGTCGGTCTTGCGACCATGTCCATTACTATGCTTTGGTGGTGATATTGGTAAAGGGGGAAGAGCAGGGTTGCGAGGATCAGTGCTTGTCATGTTCATTGTCGTGACGGGCGGTTGGTTGTGGAAGAGGCAGAAGATGTGGTAGAAGCTCGCGCGCAACTTGACGCTCAACACTCTGCACTCTGGCCCATGCTGGTTGTCCTGCGCATAGGGCAGCACGTATAGCTCGAGTATGGATAATCCCTCTCGAGACATCCAGAGGATATGTTGATAGGCCGAAAGCGAGGGAGTGTCTCGACTCGTGTCCAGCTTGCGAAGCTTCCGGGCGCGGATGAGTCTCCGGGCCAGGAGAACTGACAGACCCAGAATCTGATAGAGAGCGCTGGACAGGAAGGGACTTGTTTCTTCAGTCTGCTTGGCTATCCGACCAAGGAACTTCTGGTCAAAGTCCAGAGATGCCATGGTTCAGTGATGTAGTCTGGATGGTTCGTAAGTCAAAGCTGAGATGCAACAGGAGAAAAGCGGATTGGTGATGGGGTTGGCAATGAGAAAGACTAAGATGGATGCTTGCGCCAAGTACAAGTTGGTCGTGAAGTGAATTGTAATGCGCGACTCATGAAGCACTAACCTTAACCGCCAACCCGGACCGTTGCGCTGTATCCTCTAGAGATAGACACAGTGCAGCCCGGCCCAGGCTGACCGATGACACCGCGCGACGATGCCGCGCTGGAGATGAGGCTCTGGCACCGGTGCAGCGCGTGCTGGCCAATTGATGTGTTTCGGTAGACGACACGATGTCCGTGCGCGACCCTTGCGCGGGTGAAGGTCGATTCTCGTGATGGCCCAAGTGGGAAAGCGCTACTCGGAGATTTGTTGAATTAGGCGATTGCGATGGAGGCGAATATCATGACACAGCGTATAGATATACGTTGGTGAAGAATGCTGGGCGCAGAAAGATGAAGCGGTGGAAGAAGCTCGTGGGTGCGCCACGGGTGATGAACTGTCTGGCCAACTGTCAGTCTTGCTTCCAGATCATGGGAAGTAGCAACGGCTCACCTCGATCGGGATATCTGGAAACGGATAGGGCGAGACGGTGTCGATGGTTAGGGCGAGTGCCGGTCTCTTATTCGACGGCGGGGGTGATGGCGGAGCCAATGGGCGGGCGCAAGAGGTGAGGCGCTGCGAGACCCTTTTGCGACAGGCTAGCAGACGTCAGACGTCAATTGCGCGGTGGATGTTGAGGGTGCGAGGCCGTGGACAGCGCATTCATGGCGACCAAGCCAGCTTTCCTCGTCCAGCGCGCACGAGGCAATGCGACCGTCTTAAGGGCCGTGACGTCGGCAGGCGGTGTGGCAGCGGTCAGTGCAGCTGTTTGGGACGCCGAGGAAGCGAAACTGGGCCGCGCACACTTGCAATGCCTCGAGATACTCGGATAGCCGTTCGATCGCGCTCAGGGCAGGCGGCGGGGCGTCTTCTGGTGATGCGCAGACCCTTGCGCTCGGCCTGGTGTTGAGGGAGCGGGCGGCCGTCGCGATGCGAAAATGACAACTTCACCAACGGCGCAAAAAGGAAATGGCAGGGCGAACGCTGAGGAAACGCATGCTAGTAGTAACCCGCGCACTCTATCCGGCCTGCTGGAGACGCAGGTGCAGCTCCTGCGTCAATCTGCAGACAGGCGAGCTATGGTGGGCTACGTGTCAAGCGTCGAACTCCTCCGCTAAACTGCTCACGTCGCTGCATGTCCTTTTTGCCGTTAATAGTTCAGACGGGGCGCTGCCAGCTGGCACGCAGGCTAGAGCTGCCTTCACTTATTCTCCTGCTCGACGTCAACGCCTCTCCAACACGCCCGCTTAAGAGCCTCGCCAACGCGCCCATGCACGCCTGTGCCTCGCCTGCAGTCTCAGATGAACCACACCGTTTGCCAGCGCATCGTTCCACGGCTGGGTGGGGTGCAGTATGCCATCATGCTACTTGTCCGTCTGCCGCAAGAGACGCTTCGACAGCCCTAACCATGGCGCTTCCAACTCCGCCACGGACAGCATGCGCTTGCGTTGTCACTCGGGCCCTCTACCCCACGGTGAGGACTAGCACGATGCATGCTGACGAGACACTGATGTAGACGGGCGTCCCTGGCATGTCAACATGTATCCTGCAGGCTTAGCAATATGCCCGAGTGGATCTCTCTGCGACTCCCAGCCTCGAAGGCGACATGGACCCGATACCTCCATTGGGAACCCTACCCACCATCTTTACATCCAAGAAACTAGCATCCATTGATAGATCCGAGCTATCGTCTCGTCATCTGCGGGATCTGGCGGCGTATCTGCATCGAATGTCTCCACACGAATTGGCGGTGAGGCCGCATGCTCATTGGCTGGAATTTCGAAAATGCTGGCCTAATGTCGTCGGCAGCTAAGAGCACTACTGATAGCCAGCCTTCTTGATTTACGAACATGACGGCACAAGATTGTATGTCAGAGCTTTCAGCTCCGCAACTTAGTTGAAGCGGTTGGGATTTCAGCGCCGTGTGACCGGGACATACCGAGGCAAGGTGGCCGCAAATCACGACGACGATTGCGCAAACTTCAACGGAACCAAACTCCGCGAAGAACGTCGGTTGATTTCCGACGGTACGGCGGGTTTGAGGAAAACATGAACAAGTGCGGCGATTTT